GCCCCATATGCCAAGGGTGTTGGGTTCGAACCCAACCCTGGCCAAACTGGCAACAAAAAAGAAAGAAAAAAAACAAATTTTTTTTTTTTTTTTTTAATTTTTGAGACAGAGTCTTACCATGACTCCTTCAGTAGAGTGCTGTGGCGTCATACCTCACAGCAACCTCCAACTCTTGGCCTTAAGTGATTCTCTTGCTTTAGCCTCCCAAGTAAGCTGGGACTACAGGTGCCCACCCCAATGTCTGGCTATTTTTTATTGTAGTTGTCATTGTTGTTTAGCTGACCTGGACTGGGTTCGAACCCGCCAGCCCCACTGTACATGGCCAGTACCCTAACCACTGAGCTCTGGGCGCCAAGCCAAAAGAAAATTATTTTATAAAAAAAAACTTTTTTTAAGTTTTGTTTTTTTTGAGACAGAGTCTCACTTTGTCACCCTGGGTAGAATGCGTGGCATCATAGCTTGCAGCAACCTCAAACTCACACTCTTGGGCTCAAGTGATCCTCTTGCCTAAGTTTTTCATTTTTGGTAGAGATAGGGTCTCACTCTGGCTCAGGCTAGTCTCAAACTCCTGATCTCAGGCAATCTACCCACCTCAGCCTCCCAGAGTACTAGGATTACAGGCATGTGCCACATGCCCAGTCAAAAAAACATTTGTAAATAAACTTACGGTAACCTTTTCCTAGGACAATCACAGTTCCTGTCAAGGGAACCAGTGGCTCGGGCCCAGCCCAGCCGCCCTCACCATTTCTGCCCTTTCTCCCCCTTGCTCAGGCCCCGAGTCCAACCCCTTGAATGAGGTGGTGTCTGAAGCATTTGTCCGCTTCTTCGTGGAGACTGTGGGCCACTACTCCTTGTTCCTGACATCTAGCGAGCGAGAGGAGAGGACCCTGCAGCGAGAGGCCTTCCGCAAAGCTGTCTCCTCCAAGAGCCTCCGCCGCTTCCTGGAGGTCTTCATGGAGACCCAGATGTTTCGGGGCTTCATCCAGGAACGGGAGCTGCGACAGCAGGATGCCAAGGGTTAGGGGCATCTTCCATATTGGGCCGAGCCCGCTAGAGATGCCCAGACTCCAGGCACCGATGAGCTGGGAGAAAGGTGTCAGGGCAAGGACACAACAGGAATAGAGCTTGCGGGCACACCACGGCCCCTTCTCTGCCGTCTGTGTCCCCTCTACTGAGCTGTCCAGATCCACAGCCTGGGGTCTGTGGCCAGGGCTTCCCCTATCCCATTCTTTCCAGCTCCATGAAACTCTCAAGAGCGCCCTCCCTCTCTCACTGTTCCTGCTTCTTTTCCTCAGGGTGTGGACGGAGAGGGCAGGGGGGAGAACAGGGGCTGGTGGAGGCTGGGACAGAGGAGGAGGACAGGATGGCGCAGTGCCCTCCTGCCTATGTGAGCACCCGCCCTGGGCTGGCCTGGCATGGAAGGGATGGCAGGACCTGTGGAGCTTCCACGTCATTCACCGCTGGAGACCACCTATTCTCCCCACTGTTCCCCTCCTTCACTCCTCTCTGAATTCTTGTCTACCTGCTCCTTGTCCCCATCTGCCTGGGTTCCATCACACTAATAAGGATGGAAAGGGGAGAAGAGTAAGAAACAGGAGAAATCATTCGTCTCTTTCTTACATCAGCTTAAGCCCTTTGGGGAATCTAGAAATGTTGGTAAGGGCAGATGGGGTTAAACCCGGGTAGGAGACCAGGCCTAGTGGGGTTCTAGCACTCTGGGAGACTGAGGTGAGAGGATCACTTGAGACTGGGAGTTCAACACCAGCCTGAGCAACATATTGAGGATCCATCTCTACCAAAATAAGAAAAATTAGCCAGGCATGATGATGAGTGTCTGTAGTCCCAGCTACTCGGAAGGCTGAGGCAGGAGGATCGCTCAAGCCCAGGAACTGGAGGCTGCAGCGAGCTGTGATAACACCACTGTTCTCCAGCCTGGTTGACACAGATTGTCTAAAAACACAATAAATAAATAAATACAGCTAAGTAGGAGAAAGGTGTTAGCCACTGGGGAGGCTGTGAAGAAGCCAGGGGAGGGTCCAGGGGCACCTGGCCCCAGTTACTGGTGCACTCTGGTGCTGTGAACTCAGAGACTGAGTTAAGGATCCCAAAGCTCTATATGCCCACAGCTCTTTGCAAAATAGAATCAGAAGTGCCACTCTCAGGTCGCTCTGACAGGAGATATTTAAAGGGACAGAAGAACATTGATTGGACAATATGAGTTATAGGACCCACGTGATGAAGGAACCTTTTAAATAGAAGATCTGCTTTATAGCTCACTATTTAATAAGAGAAGTTGGGCTCAGCGCCTGTGGCTCAAGCAGCTAAGGCACCAGCCACATATACCTGAGCTGGTGGCTTCAAATCCAGCCTGGGCCTACCAAACAACAATGATGGCTGCAACCAAAAAAAATAGCCTGGTGTTGTGGTGGGCGCCTGTTGTCCCAGCTACTTAGGAGGCGGAGGCCCAGGAGTTGGAGGTTGCACTGAGCTGTGACGCCATAGCACTCTACCCAGGGTGACAGCTTGAGGCTCTGTCTCAAAAAAATAAAATAAAATAAGCAAAGTAGGAAACATAAAAACTTAAAAATAACCTGGGCAGCAGGGCAAAACCCCATCTCTTAAAAAAACTAAAAACTTAGCCAGGCAGCTGGGAGGCTGAGGTGGGTGGATTGCCTGAGCTCTTGGGTTCAAGACGAGCCTGAGCAAGAGCGAGACCCTGCCTCTAAAAATAGCTGGTTTTGGCTCAGTGCCATGCCCTCAGCTCAGTGAGTATGGTGCTGGCCACATATACTGAGGCTGGCAGGTTCAAGCCTGGCCTGGGCCAGCTAAACAACAATGGTAACTGCAACCAAAAAATAGCGGGCATTGTGTGGCAGGCACCTGTAGTCCCAGCTACTTAGGAGGCTGAGGCAAGAGAATCACTTAAGAGTCTGAGGTTGCTGTGAGCTATGATCCATGGGACTCTACCCAGGTGACAGCTTGAGACTCTGTCTCAAAAAAAAATAAAAGGGCGGTGCCTGTGGCTTAAAGGGGTAAGGTGCTGGCCCCATATGCTGGAAGTGGCAGGTTTAAACCCAGCCCCAGCCAGAAATAAATAAATAAAATAAAAATAAAAGAAATAGCTGGCATTGTGGTGGGCGGCTATAGTCCCAGCTACTTGGGAGGCTGAGGTAAGACAATCACTTGACCCCAAGAGTTTCAGGTTTCTTTTTCTTTTCTTTCTGTTTTTTTTTTTGTTTCAGGTTTCTGTGAGCTGATGCTACATAGCAAGTGCATTGGCACTCTACTAAAGATGACAAAGTGAGACTCTTGTCTCAAAAAAAAAAAAAAATTAGCCAGGCATGGTTACTCAATCTCCCAGCTACTCAGGAGATTGAAGCAGGAAGATCAGTTGAGCCCAGGAGTTGGAGGCTGCAGTAAGCTATGATTACACCACTGTACTCCAGCCTGGGGCCAGAGCAAGACCCCTGTCTTGCTCCCCATCTCTGTAAAGTTGGTTAAAAACAAAGACAGTGGCTCGGCACCTGTGGCTCAAGCGGCTAAGGCGCCAGCCACATACACCTAAGGTGGCGGGTTCGAATCCTCAGCCCGGGCC